TTCGCCTTTAATCATTTCCTATAAACCCGAGATCTCTTTAAGAGCTTTTGATTATTTAAAATACGTATACTCGATTACGCTGGATCTGGTAGTACGAGACATAGTCGCACGAGATCAATTATATTGCGAAATCGAGATAGGTAATCCACATCACCACGGTGGTGTGAGACATAGCCGCACGCATATGATGTGTTTGATGCCTCTGCATTTTTAGTCAGCTCATGGGGAGACAAAGACGAGGAGGTCGTAGGTACCAACTACGTAAGATCCTACGCACCTTATACCTACCCTGTCTAGCTCTTACTCCACGACCAGTTATCCGCGACGCTAAGTATCAGTTATTACTCATTGATATACCTGTGAAGAAGATCATAGTGAAGGATCTTCTACCTAAGGATCCAAGACGAGAAATCTATTGTAAAAGTTAAGGAGGAAGCTTCGGGTAAGTACTGTGTCATACTTGTACACCCTGGGATCCCTGACATACGACGGGCGCACGTACCGCGTGGTCTAAAAGATTGTCAATTCAAGAGCGATTCCGGACCTTCATATTGATATCCAGGACGTAACAACTTAATTAATATTAACTAGGACCTTAATGTTCCTTGTACATTTTGATTTTGACAGGAAATTGTTTAAAATGTCAACTACTCTGCACTTTCCCCGAAAATGGGGTACGAGCGTAACTTGAAGTTAAATACTTTGAAACTTTATTTCATGTGCAATGGGGCAAGAGTAGAATTATTAACAAATCTGCTATAAAATGCTTTTTACTCCATTGTGCAAGTACTCTATACTGCAAACAAGTACTCTAAGTTAAATATAAAAGGGAATATAGTGAAACAAAACAAGGAAACAAACATACTAAATGGAGAAATTTCGCTCATATTGTAATAAAAGTAGCCTGTATACGCATTTGCACTGTTTACGAACTTACCCCACTTCACCTTATTGCGTAACTGCTTGTGAATACTGTTCTGTAAGAAATATTCTACTGATATTCATAAAATATCACATGCGATAGTTATCGAGATTTACGAAAAAATCATGCCGTTAATGATTTAGTAATTCCATGAAGCAAACACAAATTGATAGAATTTATTGTCACTTGTGAAATGATCATTGTAAATGAGACTTCAACCCCTATAAACTAGCGCTAAAGTTTTGCGATATCGTTTCTTTTTACCGCAACTTTCCAACGCTACGTAACAACGATCTCGAAGGGTCAGTTGGTGACACGTTCTATCCAAATACTTGTCGTACTTTCAGTTGCATAGCAGAAATTTACCTTTGATTCATCGATTCGTTGCGTAAATATCCGGGATACATCTCGGAACGTGAGCTGCATTGCAACGGGTGTGTAACACCCTTGAATGGTATCGACAACTCTCTAATGATTCACCAAATTCTTCGACGAAAAGCCGTGTTTCGAAAAGTATTACACAACTTGCCATGCTGCATGGGTTTTACGTGATATTTTAGACAATCAACGAATATTTTAGCTGTGTGACCAACGATTAGGATTTTCGATAATAAATGTAAAACCGGTATTCTGAGTTTCTCATTTGCATGGTCGTTAATATGTAAGAAATTTATATTTCTAGGTTTCTGAGATACTCCTTCTTTTTTCCTTTTTTGTAAACGCACGATTTTAGAGATGAACATCGTTTAGTCAGCAAGGATGAATTTTAGGAAAGGAAATATATAAAAGGTCTTTGAGGAAAAGAAATATAAAAGTTTGCGAAATAGCAAAAATATCGATTAGTCAAAGAATAGTTTGAAGATTATCGAGTATAAATTTAATAATAAAAAAGTAATTATTGTGAAATTTTATAAAAGTTTGTCAGAGAATTATGAGGTTAAAATATATTAATAGGTAACTTGTTTTAGTTATAATTATTTTGGTTACGAATAACAATTATTGATGAAGGAAATTATTTTTGGTTACGAGTAACCATTATGTATCTACTACAAGCCGTTATGTATGTGCTCCATTTTAGTTATCTAAACCAATATCGATGACGAGAGTTCTGTTTTGTTTACGTCCATAATTTACATATTTTGTAAGACAAAATTTAGATTTTACTTATTAAGTAACAGATGTGTGTAAATATTGAATAAAAAGATTGATCTGTACTATTTTCAAAATGTTTTGTAAAATATATAAATTTTGTGATTCATTTTAGGTGATTAACGATTAATATTAATACAATATTAAAAATGTTAAAAAATGTTAAGAAATGTTAAATGTTAAAATGTTGAAAATTAACAATGGCTGAAAATAGTCGAAACAAAATTTCTATTACTGATAGCAGTTATTAGTAAAGCATTAAAATGCAATTTTCGTTATTTATAATAGTAATCGGAATAAAATTTTGTTCATCGATACTGGTAGACAAAGGAGTTTTAATCAGTTATACTGATTATTTGCAACTAAAATTATTTAAACATTATTAATCTGAATTTGTGTTCTGCAGTCTCTGAAGATATAATTTGAAGTTTGTTTATATATGTATTGTTTATTAATATCTTATCCAATAATAAACTAAATAATAAACTATTTTTATTAATTATTGAATAATAGAAAAAAAAACAATTCTTACAAATATTCAAATCAATAAAATTGCTATATTGTTAACAGCAATTCTATTTTATATTATAAATTAATTTCTTTTTTAATTTAAATACATTTATTACTGTTTTGTTTCAATTAAAAAATAATGTATTTTGCATAACCGAACATAACAGATTAAAAAATGTTGTGCCTTGCATAACAAAACACACTATAACAAAATTGGGAATAATTTATGAATTCCTTTTCAAACCCTCATTTTTGCAAAAATAAATTAAATAAATCTATTATACTCACATTTGTCAACTTCAACAGGTTTCTTTCACACCAATAAGAATTTCTGTAAAATAATTTATTCGCATGAAAAAAAGATTTTTTATTCATGTTAACAACGTGTATAAGACAGTAAATTGAGGCTATAAGTCATTGATGATATTGGCAACTTACATGCTATCGTTAAAACGAAATTTTAGATGAACTCGATTCACTGAAAATGATGAAGCGATTTGGAATTGAAGATATGCGATCGCACGAACCGATGACAATTGACGATGAACTTACACTCTCACTATATTGACACTGAGTCTTACTGGATTTTTATACAAGATGCAGCTTCCTTTAAGCTGACCACAAAATCCCCCACCTACAATCAGTAGGACGTTTAATTTATTATAAAATACTTTCCTCATCCATATCTTGTATTTTTAAATATTTTACTATAAATTAATTTTTACTGAAATAATACCCCTTAGTATTTGATAAAAAGCATTAATATTTTTTATTTAACGTTGCCTTGTTGTAAAATTAAAAGATAATATTTTTCAAGTATGCAAAATAGTACTATAATAGCACAATATACAATAAGTACAATAGTATACAAAAATACTATTATAGAAATATATCAAAAAAAGTAAAAATTTATGATTAATACTTATAAATTGTATTTATATATATGTATAATTATACAAATTATAGAAATTATATAATTTATATTTTAAGGGCTTTTGTCTTTTTCTATTATTTATTTTTGTATGGAGTAAGTATATTTTATTTTGTTGTTTTGCAGAATTATTTTAGTTTTTTTCATTTGTTTGATTTTGTATGAAGTAGGTATATTTTACTTTTTCGTTCTGTCTTCGTTAATTTTTGGGGTAAAGTCGTCGCTGACAAGTGCGGCATATATTAAGAATAAAAACGCTGAAGATTATGCTCATTCACATCCGGATGCGTGTAGGAGTATTATGATGAATAGTTATATAGATAATTATTTAGTTAGCCAGAAATCTGCACGAGATTTAACCTTTTAGGTACGGCCGAATTCTGCGTGTGGTATTTCCCTGGACGGCAGGGTCTGACGTGAACGATGTATTATCGATATAACACTGCAAAGTGTGACGGGCAATCCCGTTCTGTGCACAAGAATATTCAAATGAAGTATTTGATCGCTGTATCTTATTCTTTTTATCTTCTTCATACCCTGCATATTTCTATTGATTTTATTTTCGATTTCCGAGTCGGATTCTGAATTGTCAGAAATTGCCCTTTGTTTTCTATTTTCATGTAGCATTTTGGGGTTAGAGACTCTAACAATGTATAAGGATATGTTAGAAAAAACAAATGGTATATTTATTTAAGGAAAAAGCAATAATTTATACCTGACTGCCTATTTTGTCTATCTATTGTTTTATTTGCACTGTTCTAAATCGATGTAAAGAAAAAAGAAGTGTACAACAATTATGAAAGCCACTATAGTGGCGCGTCGTCCTGAAAGATGATATCCACAAAAGCCACTATAGTGGCGCGTCGTACCTAAAAGGTTAATAGATTTAGTTCGAGACGTCACCAGAATAAATGCTCGTGCCAACTTCGAAATGCATGGATGGGCAAGCAACGATACCACTGTAGTGGCGGCAGCAGGAAGGGAACCTGCAAAAGACAAAGGAGAGTTGAAGCTCTGTGACCGAGGTGGGGAAAAGGTGTTTGACATGAACAAAGTTCCCGCGGAGGTGATACGCGGAAACAGGAAACCGACGAAGCGCGAGTATCTTCGTGTCATCATGTCGACCTTTGACCCGCTGGGATTTCTGGTACCCTTCATGATAAAGTCTAAAATATTAATGCAGCAAATCTGGCGTAGTGGAATTGGTTGGGATGATCCGTTAAGGGATGAAGAAAATGTCGGTTGGTTAACGTGGTTGCGGATGCTGCAATTGGTAAATCAGAGTCGCATCCCGTGCTGTTTGATACCAACAACCTCCGATCTCGCGACAGCGCAGCTCCATGTGTTCTGTGACGCGAGTTTGTAGGCGTACGCTGCCGTGCCGTACATTAGAATAACTACCGAAGGCCCTGTAGCAAGCGTTTTAATTATGGCCAAATCAAGAGTGGGCCAAATCAAGAGTAGCCCCTCTGAAACCGCTCTCCGTTCCACGATTGGAATTGCAAGCTGCGTTACTTACAGCACGATTAGCTAAAACTATTACGGAGGAGCTTGATATTAAATTTCACCAGCGGTTTCTATGGTCCGATTCCGTTACTGTTTTAAGATGGATAAATGGAGAACATCGAATGCGTCAGGTGTTTGTTGCCCATCGTCTGGGGCAAATTGGCGAGATTTCCGAAACCTTTGAGTGACGCTGGGTTCCGTCCAGCCAGAACCCGGCGGATATCGCGACGCGTTGGAATAACAGAGCTTCTGATGAGCCCAACAGTTGAAACTTGGGGCCCGCATTTTTACCGAAATCGGAATGTGACTGGCCAGTAGAGAAACCGCTCGACGAGGTGAAGAAGAAATCGATAGACGAAATGGAAATGCGCAAAGCGTTCGTATACTTTGCAGAGTCGTACCAATTATCTACCTTTCCGTTAGCGCTAAGACTTCTCGAATGGCAAGGTTTATTTATTGTGGCCAGGCGCGTACAGTCGGTCATAAGTCGTTGGAAAGGTCGAACTCCTGAACTGCCCTCAGTGGTAAGCATTTCCGCGGCTGAGCGATGTTGGTATCGCATAATTCAGGCTGATTGCTTTCATGAGGAAATGAATGCTATCAGGTGTAATAAAGAGTTAAAAAAAACTAGCAAGATAGCTAATTTGTGGCCTCATATTGATGAACACGGAATCTTAAGAGTAACCGGACGAGTAACGAAAATTCATGAGGACAAATTTAATAATTTCCCGATAATCCTCGAAGACAAGCATCCAGCGACCAAATTGCTTATAACGGAATACCATCGGCGTTTCTATCGCGCAAATAATGCGGCTGTCGTCAACAAACTACATCAAACTTTTTTCATAATAGGTTTAAGAAAGACCTTACGCTCATTGGTCGCTAAATGTCTAGTATATCGCTTACAACGTGCCAAACTTCAGGCTCCTATCATGTCAACGTTACCTGAGGGACGATTGGCGTACAGGCCGAGACCCTTCAGTCACTGCGGAATTGACTATTTTGGTCCTATGTTCGTAAAAATTGGTCGACGTAGGGAAAAACGCTGGGGGCTTCTATTTACCTACCTCACTACACGGGCTGTTCACTTGGAGTTAGCGCACATCTTAAGCGCGAGTTCCGTCATTTACAGAGATTGGCTTCGCGTAGAGGTCTTCCCGTCACGGTATACTACATATAGTAACAACGGTACAAATTTTAAAGGTGCTAGTAAAGAACTTAAAGAAGCTATCGCTGAAATAGATAAAGAAAAGCAACGAGAATATGCGCTGACACAACGAATAGAATAGAAATTCATTCCTCCGGACGCACCACGTATGTGTAGGGCGTGGGAACGCCTAATTAGATCCGTAAAAACTGCGCTACACGTGGTTTTACGCGAACAAGCTCCTACAGAAGAAGTTCTGTACACGTTATTGACCGAAATGGAGCATTTGGTAAACTCACGGCCATTAACAAATGTGCCCGTAGATCCGCGAGATCACAAAGCTCTCACCCTTAATCATTTTTTAATTGGAACATCGTCCGGAAGCATAGAGCTGGGAAATTATGAGTCGCAGACCGTATGCTTAAGAAAACAGTGGAAATTGACTCAACACTTTGCTGACTGCTTCTGGAGGCGTTGGTTACGAGAGAGATATACTACCGTCTATCATCGGACGACCTAAATGGATGAGAGAAGGGAATACTTTAGGCAGAGGTAATCTAATACTCATAGCGGACACGCAGTCACCACGCAACGAGTGGAAAAGAGGGACTATTATACAAACATATCCTTGATCCGATGGTGTAGTTAGAATAGCGAAGATTCACACATCACGAGGCACAACGACCGCGATGGTCGTCGTAGGACGGCCATGTGCCCGTCGTCCCTGCTTTATTAGGGTGGGTCACTGGGCTTTTTCTAACAGTAGTTTATCAATTCCTTCCTTGTAAGATGTGGTTGGTTTGGACTGGAAGAAGCTTTCAACATCCTGCCTGACTTGCTCTTCAGAATTGAAGGTTTTTCCGTTTAAAAAGTTTTGTAAGGAACAGAAAAGGTGGTAGTCTGTCGGGGCAAGATCTGAGGAGTAAGGTGGATGTGGTAAAACAGACCATTGGTAAAACAGACCATCCAAGCTCAAGAATTTTTTCTTGAGTCACCCTTGCTGTATGCGGTCGCGCGTCGTCGTGTAAAAGAATTACATTTCTGCGATTGACGAGTGCATGGCGCTTTTCTAGGAGTTTCTCTTGCACTCTTTGCAATTGCTGAATGTATTTATCCGCAGTAATCGTTAAATTTGACTTCAACAACTCGTGGTGACTTATACCTTCATAATCTCACCATACACACAATAAAATCTATTTAGCTGCATCGGAAGTTACTTATGACTCGACCTAATATATTATTAGAGTTTTTTTCTTCAATCGATCCCCCTATCCTGGTATTTTTCTGTTACATTAGTTGACAGTAAATTAAATAGTACTAACACTGAAGACAAATAATTATTTTGTATACTAACATAATTTAAACATTTTTAACTGGAAAGTTTTATATGCACTTTATTTCTGTGATTAACCAATAATCATAAAAGTAGTTCACTTGTAATATTATATTAATTGTATTTTCTCTTTCAAATTGTGAACTCAAATAAATGTTATTAAAATACAAATTTTCCGAAAATACCTTTTTTTTTCAAAACTGAAAATTATAATAAAATAAAAGACTATCAAGATTGTAGAAGAGTACAGCGCTATTTCATACGTTATTACATAAAAAATTCAATTTCTAAATTTGTGATGTGACACCATTATTTACTTTTATCTAATAATTTAATTAGAGGTTCTCAGTTTATGATGAATATACATTCATTAATTGATTTTTTATATGTAGAGAATAGAAATGTTTAGTTTAAACAAGTTTGTTAGTGTATCTTATAAAATGATTAGTTTTCGAACTGCAATTGGCACGAGATAAAACGAATAAAAATAAGTTGAAGACATAATTAAGTCCAACATACTAGGTCTGTTTGATTACGCGCTCCGCGCCTAACCTAACAATGTTGAGCGAGCGAGTAAATTTCACGCTAAAGCAAAAATAGTCAACCGTGTCATCCGGTTGAATTGGTTGAGTGGTGCAAGAGAAAAGCATGAACAAAAAAGTTGAAAAGTCAAGTACATAAGCGCGAGCAAATTCAT